TGAAACTCCGGAGCATCTGCTGATCGACTGCACAGCAGTCTGTATTCGCAGAGCTAAGGCCCTTGGAGTTCCATTTCCGGATAGGGATCRCATTGCCTCGCTAGCGCCTAGCAGCCTACTGGACYTCATYAATGGGCTGGGGCTAAGTGAGGCAATGTAAGGAAGGAGAGRGCACAATAGACCAAAGGTCGCAGTGCATTCCTCATTATCATTCATTCATTCATTCAGTTATATAGCCAACTGGCAGCTATCTTCCTGTGAATGGACTCATGACTTTCAAAACACACAAGATCGCGGCACGAGAGTCTCCCAAGCATTGTCCAGGCACGGTGCCTGCTTTGCTTATATAGCGAATTGGCAGCTAGCTTCCTGCGAATTTACCAAATCACATAACATTACGGCGCGAAAGTCACCTAAGCACTAGCCATGCGCGCTGCCTACTTTACTTATATAGCCAACTGGCAGCTAGCTTCCTGTGAAATTACCTCATGACTTTGAAGTCACACCAGATCGCGACGGGAGTCACCTAAGCACTGATCAGACACGCTGCCTGCTTTACCTATATAGCCAACTGGCAGCTATCTTCCTGTGAAATTACCTCGTGACTTTCAAATCACACAAGATCGTGGCACGAGAGTCTCCAAAGCACTGGCCAGGCACGGTGCCTGCTTTACTTATATAGCGAATTGGCAGTCAGCTTCCTGCGAATTTGCCGCGTGACCTTCAAATCTCATAACATTACGGCGCGAGAGTCACCTAAACACTGGCCAGGCGCGCTGCCTGCTTTACTTATATAGCCGACTGGCAGCTAGCTTCCTGCGACTTTACCGCGCGACTTTTAAATCACACAACATCGCGGCGTGAGTGTCACTTAAGCATTGGCCAAGCACGGTGCCTGCTTTACTTATATAGAGCAAGTTGAAAGCTAGCTTCAACCGATGAACAAGTCAACTTGTGAGTTCCAAATCGAATTACATGGTGGCGCGAAAGTCACGCAAGCGATGGCCAGGCACGGTTGCTGCTTGCCTTTTATAGAGCCAGCTGGCAGCCTGATTTTATTATTTTTCCTATATATTTTACTAAATGGGAGTTTTTGATCACTTACAATAACTTTTTTATCTTAAAGCAAATAAATCTTCACTTTCGAATCAGAGATATTGTAATACATAATTTTCCGCTCTACAAAAAATTCTGACGTATGGTATTTATATGTACACCATGTCGTATGAGCAACCAGAAAGTGCATTTGAACCATTTGTACCATTTGATGTAGAACTTTAACAGCTTACACCTTTAAGTGAATATTTTTATGAAAAATTCTTTACGATCTTTCTTGTAGAGAAGAAAATTTTGTAGTAGAATATCACTTTTTCAAAGTTATATATTTACTTGTTTAATGTAAAATATGGTATAATAAACCTATATTATTATATGCATATCAGAAAGATATGATTCAAGCGCGGTTGAAATTGAAAGTAAAGGATTTTTATAAAGGATTATTATTTTTAGACCATATACTGAAACTATGAAAGGCGTTGGTAGAAAAACAATTAACTTGGAGAAATAACGGATACGTTAATATACATCCATATAATTATAAATGTATAAAACCTACATTTATTGTTGGAAATTTACAAAAGCAAATTTGTATTATTGCTTTCAGACTAAAACCTTATGCAATATGCATTTTTATATTTTATTGTAGCTCTAAATAAGTCACCTAAAATGCCGGCCTCGGTTAAAACTGCCGTTAGTAAAAATTTTAAATTTGAAATTCGTTCAGTTAAGAAAACCATCTCAGAAATAGCTATAATAATTATATGTTATTTATTCGTTGTTCTGTTCCCTACAACCCCGTCGATCAATAATGAACTGAGTGATGATGACCTTAAAAAGATTGTGATATATGACGGACAAAATCTCAATAATTTAGAGATTCTAAAGTAAGTTTGGAAAAAAATTACTATTTTTTCAATTTTGTATGAGCAATATTTGAATCGCATTTGATTTACTGTATACCATTATATTAGATCCTTATTAAGCGTCTCTGGAAAACCAATGCCAACAAATCTTACATATACTCCAGACGATGAAACGGCTACCGGTATAATGGATGAAGTTGCAAAAAGTCTGCAATTAATCGAAGCAAAGTCATATAAAACAGAAAAATCAATGATGAACAGATTCGACAGAAATACAACACTAGCAGCTGTTAAATTCATATCAACGACTAAGGATAATCTAGAAAATGAAATACGTTTTCCAAGTGAGTTTCGAACAAAGGACTTAAATCATGTGGGTACAGAACTTTGGGCAACACGCTGTAGCGGTATACTTGCTCAGGATGCAGGCGAAAAAAACGTGCAAGATGATTTATATTTACGAGAGGGTTTCTTGCAGTTGCAACATCAAATATTTGCTAAATGGTTACTCAAGACACAGGATCAAGATATAAGTAACGCAACATTTACAGTGCGATCATTTCGACAACATACCAATGCGAGAATGTGTTCTATCACAAGCAAGTCCAGTATATCGATGTTTTGCTTCAGTTTTTCATTCTTTTTACCATTTCTAAATATTCTATGGGTAATATGAGCGTTTCAACGATTCATTTTTAGATATAGATATATAAATATATATTTTTATTTTTATCAAACATTCCAAGCGGTATGGGCGTGAACGAGAAGAGAATATTTTAGCTCATCATTGGAGATATGGATTTGATTATGCCAAGTACTGGACTGGCAATTGCATTGTTTCTTTTTTGCATTTATTAGTTTTGGATATATTCATTGCAATTGTGGTCATGGTAAGATAACCATTTCTCTTGAACTCTTACTATATATTACTATATAATCAAGTTTGCGATTTTCTTAATTAAATACTTTTTGTTTAAAAATTCGATTTTAAACTTACAATATCGAATTTTGGGATTACAATAATTTTCAATCCGGAATTTGGAATTAAAAAATAAATAAATAAATATTTTTAATTAAGATTTTCGGAATTACAAAAACAAAATTTTCAAATGTTGATTCAACTGCATTATGCAATTCTAATTAAAATTAGTTCCATTAAGTTATATTTAATTATTTTATTATGTTTAATACTTTGATTGTTATTGAAAAACGTTATCGCAGTTTCAATACTTGACGAAGCAATAGTCTTGTAAAATAGGCATATCGAGTTATATAAAACTTCAATTTGCAAAAAGTTAATATCTCAAATAATTATGACAATATTGCTCTGTCTATTTATAGCTGCCACTTGAGGGAAAATTCGTTAGTAACATTATTTGGTTGATCCTTTATCTAATTTCATACAATATTGCACTCCTGATTACCGCCGTGTTTATAGTCTCAATTTCGACTAAAGCACTGCACGCTGTATTGTTCGGAGCTCTGATATGGATTACCATGTATTCCTTATTCTCAATTTTGGTGGAGCACTATTTGGAAATGACCACAATTTTGTTCATTTGCTTTATTGGCTTTCCCAACAATGGATTTGCATATGGAATGCGCGAGCTTCAAAAAGGCGATGATTTTTTAAATCCAGTCATAACGATGTTGGCGAACTGTGCATTTTATTGGATATTGATTTCCATAGCGGAGTATTTTAGTCCAGGGCCTTATATTAAAACGTTGCCATTCAGCTTATGCTGTAGTGGACGCTGTCTTACCACAATGAATAAGCCCGCCAAAGCTCCAAAGTCGAAAAAACACAATATTTTAATACTGGAAAAACCTATAATTTGGGAAAATTTTGAATTCGGCACCATCAGTAGTGTTGAATTGATACGTTTAAAAAATGTGCACACCAAATACGATTCCGGAAGAATACAACTTAAAAATATTACAATGCGTATCTATGCCAATGAGATTACTGTCATATTTGGACCACATTGCTCCGGCAAAACGACAATAATTCAATTAATGGCAGGTTGGAGGCGACCACTGTTGGGACAAGTACAAATTGAAAATAATGATTTGTATGAACATTGGAATAAATATCGTGATAGCATCGATGTATGCATGCCAAATAACGCATTATTTGATTTACTAACTGT